CGTAACTTCCTATTAAACCTGAAAGCTCTGTCCATTAAAAACGTATAATATGATGACTCCCCGTTGAGAGTTTATTATTTCATCCTTTTATTATGGAAGAGTGGCACAGTAGCAAAGACACATGAGTGACGGATTGTTTTTACGGTAAACCTAAACAAACCGAAGGTTTTACTACTATTGCCGTCTAAACAGTGGCGGAAGCAAAATATTGAAGGAAGAATATAGAAGAAGGTACATTTTGTTTTTAACCACAATACCTTGGACAAACGATTCAGGTAATTAGAATTACAAGTAGCGAAGTAGCCATAGAGGAGAGATAAAAATGTGTTATTTAGTGTTTTCTAGAAGCTATGAAGTGATGGAAAAGAAATTAGCCAGGAATAGCGAATTTCGTAATATTGTCACGAAATTGCATCGGTGCAGAGTAGCCGAGCGTTTACAGCGCGAATATTAAGGAATTTTATTGTGTTATTCCAAGTAAACAAGCATTCAAAAATTCTAGAGAAATCTCAAATTGAAGGTTTTTCTATGTAAAGTGCGGTACTATGTAGTACCTTGACTGTAGATTGTAGATTGCATTTAAAGTCGTTACAGCTTCTTCCAACCCTTCAAGCACTGCTACCATTCCAGGTACCTATTTTGTGTGTGACTCTGCTTCTAGTTGTTGTCCAAAATTTGTAAGGCTTCTCCCAAAGGATGCTAGCTTCCCGGGGCCCGTTTCTCGTCTCAGGGAGAGGAGAGCTTCCCGAGAGAACAAATTTTTCGTCTTTTTCATTCTCGTTCACTTTTCGATTACGTTGACAAGAACAAAAAATTCGTTCTCTCGGGGAGCTCTCCTTTCCCTGAGACGAGAATCGGGCCCCTGGGTAGTAGAGTGCCCATCCCTTGGGATGTGAGTAGACCAACAACTGTTTTAATGTCTCTTCTGTTTATGTCAAGAAGTTTGTTTAGATCTCTTTGCTGATATCAGATGAATATGAACCTTTTTGCCTGTCTCAGACCCGGAATGGATTTCCAATGAGCTAGCATCAGGTCTTTTTCTCATAGGTTCATTTCTTCGAAGACGTGGCTTTTCATTAGTCCACAAAAAGTCTCTGGGCCTTGAAAAGGTGTTAAAGCTGTTTGCTTTGCGAGGTCGTCTATGCCTGCTTGATATGCCCTTCATGCTTTGGAATTCGAACTCAATTTATTTTTGAACATAAAAAAAAACCGGCCTTACCTACACAACAACTCTTCACAACCTGCCTATCGTTCCCATCTTCTTAACTCAATCTGTGTCAAAAATTATTTTTCTATTTTTGTCTTTAATACAATATTACATGTGTATCTTTCACCATCACTAACAGATAATAATAGACTTATCTCCGCCACTGTCCAAATGTTTTATTAATACGATTTAAATGGATCCTGGGATGTGGCCGATTGTCTGGATGGCTTTTAAACGTTTACCTAAACGCTTTATCTTTGAACTGAACACACACAACATTAACCGCTCGACCAAATAATTTTGGTCGTTTAATTGACGCTTTTATTGACAGCTTTGTTGTTCCAGGATCTGTATCGGTTACATTACTTGGCCTGCATCTAATAGAATAGACCGAAAAACATTTTTTTTTTGTTAAAATCCTCTTTCTACTGTAATTGATTTTCAGTAAAATCCTGAACTTGCGAAAGTGTTTCCGTTTTAGAAAAGCGTTAATTTCCATACGAATTAAAGTACATTCATGAGTTTGTAAAGAAAATTAGTGCTTGGAAACTTCCTACGTCTTAGAGGAAGCACTTTATTACTTGCTTGAAGAGTATACCTATTCAAGTTATCTCAGTGAAATCTTTTTAAAGTGGAATAAGAGAAATTACAAGCTGGACTTAATTGAAAAAAGAAATTTCATATGCACTATTATATAGAAAATAATCTATTTATAATAAATAATAATTCCAATCTACAATCCAAGTGTTTCAGTAAGAGTGGATTAATAATTCTGATGCGGTTTTTGTACCGTTTTCGTCGGCGATTATAAAAAATAGGGGTTGAAGGTTGAAGCCATAGTGGGCCGGGCTGGAAAAAATCTCCTGCAGGCGCCACGAACAAGGAATACATTTTGTGAAATCAAGCAAGGAACTCTCGAAAATAAAATGGGACATTCTGTGTCTCTGCGAAACCGAACCACCAAACGAAGAATGCACCACACCTTTATCAGGTCATGTTATGTCAGAACAATAAATCAACTACTCATACAGGAGAGGTAGCACTTCTGATAAATAAAAGCGTCAAACACTTGGCTTCAAAAATGAAAGCAATATCAGAAAGAGTTATTTACATCACCTTAAAACTTTCATCATGATACAAGCTTCAGGTGCACATATGAACCAACAAGTGCTGCACCAGATGGAGAGATCGAGTAACTTTGTGAAGACCTAAGAATAAGTTAGAAAAGACGCAATACACTCTTATCACTGGCGACTTCAATGCTAAGATAGGCGACCTAAAAGATTTACAAATTCCACAAGTTGGAAAAATGGGACGGAGAGAAACATTAATCAACTTTCTACAAAGCGAAAATCTATTCTGTATGAACTCCTTCTTCGAGAAACCCGTTAGTAGAAGATGGACGTGGTGAAGCCCGAACTTAGTAAACAAAAACGAAATCGACTATATACTCACTAACAAGAAATGCATAGTAACAGACGTAAATTCGATACGAAACGCGATCACCGACTAGTTGGTGCAACAGTCAAATTGAATTTTTAAGCCGAAATAAGTAAACTCATTACGAATAACCACTACCCTACCCTAGTCGAACTTAAACAAAACAAAGAGACATACAAGAGGAAGCTGGACAAAAACTCTCTATCGAACCACTCCTCAAAAGTCAAAGCTCAAGCCGAATACTCGCAAAATGATAGCGCAGAGAGGAAGTCTGCTAGTCTGCACGGAGATTCACCTGAATACACCAAAATAAACCTAAATATCTCAAAGAAAATTAGGCAAGACCTAAGAAGATACAACACCCAAAAAATAAAAGAGGTCATGGAAAACAACAAAAGCATGAAGATCCTTGAGCAGTCACAACAAAAAGGCAAAATAGGAATCCACCAAATGAAGGATGAGGATGGAAACATACAACACGAAAGAACAAAGATCATAACAATCATCCAAGAGTACTATAAGGAACTCTACTCACCACCACACCACAACCAAGATGTCGAACAAAACATGAACATAAAGAATGCAGGTTCTGAAGACATCACCATCTTGGAGATAACACTTGCACTCTCGCAGCTTACCTAAATCTGAAAGAGCTCCTGGGGAGGACGGAATCACAACAGAAATGTTAAGACTAGGAGGAGGAAACGCGCTAAAAGCAGAAAGCAGTACAGTCCCTCTTAAACAGATGCATTGAGACAAGTCAAATCCCCCACTCGTGGAACAACGCACAGGTCGTCACACTCCACAAAAAAGGAGATAAAAACCCAATAGAAAACTATAGACCCATCAGCTTACTTCCACATTCATATAAACTTCTTACAAAAATCATAACAAGCAGGCTAACATCAAAAATGGACTCCTAGCAACCAGAGGAACAGGCAGGTTTCCGGAAGGGATATAAAACCACATATCACCTTCAAACAATTCACACACTTATAGAAAAATGCACTGAATACAACGTCTCACTACATATGACTTTTGTAGACTACAGCAAGGCCTTTGATTCTATACACCTAAGCGCAATATTTAAAGCAATGGAAAATGCACAGACTGACTCAAGATACATGAAACCATGATCACGGACAAAATACGCATAAGGAGAGGTGTCAGACAGGGCGACACCATTTCTCCCAAGCTTTTGACCCTAGTCATTGAAGATATATTTAAAACTCTAGGAAAACATAAGGTGTGATTGGGGATGGCAAATATCTAAACTGTATACCATCTAAGGTTCGCGGACGACATCGTCCTAATCGGTAAATCACTCGATGAACTAAAAGAAATAATACAGCAACTGAAGCAAGCATCGTAGAAGGTGGGACCAGAGATGAACACCGCAAAAACCAAATTCATTACTTTAAGTGAGGCAGACCTACTTACCATCGAAGGCCAAGAAATAGAAAGATTATTTACGAATATGTCTATCTGGGGCACCAGAGGAAGCTTGGGAAAGAGAACCAAAGGCTGAAATTACCAGAAAAGTGAGCATGACTTGGGAAGCATTTGGAAGATTGCGCTTTATCCTGAAAAATCTAGATATTCCTATAAACATGACAAGAAAAGTGCAGACATGTGCATACTCCCTGTACTGACGTACGGCCTGGAAGCCATGACACTAACCATAAAAAGTGCAAACAAACTGAGCAGTCAGAGGGGCATAGAAAGGGCAATGCTAGGCATTAGTCTGAGAGACAAAATAAACAACTACGACATACGTTGACGCACGGGTGTGAACGATGTGATCCAGTGCATAGCAGAAGCAAAGTGGAGATGGTCAGACCACGTGGCAAGGCAACCACCGAACAACAGATAGACAAACATAGTCCATGCAGTGAAGATCAAGAGCACACAAACGCGGCAAAGGGATACTCCAAAAGAGGTGGATGGATGACATTTACCGGAGGACAAGGGGAGAGTATGGCAACACATCGCACAAGGCCGTCAGAGATGGAAATTGGAAGGGGAGGCCTATGTTCAGGAGTTGACGCAACTGGGCTGCTTATGATGATGATGATGACGAAGCATTTTAAACTGCTTTTTGTAGAGCATCGTTTTTGAACAAAAAATCAGCCGGTGCGGCAAGCTTGCAGAAAAAATAGAAAAATAAAAGTAAGTCTCATTTGAGAATTGCAATACCAAAAATCATCCAAACTTGCTATTGCTGATTGTCGTCAGAGTGACATCCCCAATAAAATTTGACAAAATTGTTCACAACAAACTATAGATATCAGGAAACAAAAAAAATATATGCTTCGAAATAAAACAAATTATTTTTATAATATTATATTTATTGGATAAATCATATAATTTTAATAAGTATTTGTTATTTACAATATATCACAAAAATTGTAAAATTACTTAATAATTTTATAGCAACTAAACATAAACAAATACTTAATTTAATTTTGGACTCGAATCAATCATAAACTGCGATAATAACGACCGGAAATAATCAACGGTCAAAGCGAAATAATAGTACTGAAAATAAACTATAAACCTATAAAGGCAATGCAAGCCCAAAATAATTCCACATTACGTACCACTTCCAAATTAAACAAAAGATTACTTTTACGAAAAGAAATGCATAAAAAAAAATTACAAATGATTTAACAAACAAAAAATAGTCCTCGACTCCAAATAAAAAATTTAGAATTTTTAGGATCAAGAAGATCAATTTACTAAATTTATTAAAGCTTTAGGAAAGCATAATTTCTTTGGTATCGTAATCTAGGAACCTACTAAAAGTATTATTGCTTAATATCTATAAACTAGTCTATATCTTATCTATAATTGAAGACTCGAAATTCAGAAGGGTCTTAGTGCCAAAAAAATTAAACAGAGATATCACATAGAACATGTCTAAAACGAATTTTTTGAAATAGTTTTATATATGAACTACATACATAGTTCCATACTGAAGACAAAAACTTACCTACACACTACTAGAAGGTCCTAAGTGCCAAGTACACTTGGCCAATCATAAAACTGGTACAGGCAATAATTTTTTTTTTAAATTTGCCTAATGTGAATCTGGCTAAACAACAAAAAGTTTCTTCTCAAAAACTTAGGCTAGACAGTTTTTGTCAACATCGAATGTCAAAAGTATTTGCTGCGGCATTTTGTTTGATTTAAAGATGACACTAACTTGACTCTTATTGTCATTTTTGAGGTGATGATAAAGGTCGATTTACACGATACAGCACAATAGGAAAACCAGTTTTATGATTCGCCAAGTGTACCAAGGAAACGTAAAAAGGGTCTATGTCCAAAAGAACCTTTTACTGCCGTGGCATTTTTCGATAAGTAAAGGTCTTTGATTTTTTTTGCCCCAAACCCGCAATACCTACTCCCTCAATACTAACAATGTTAAATATTTGGAATGGTTAGTTCATTTAGTGGATGGCACATAGACAGTTTTGTACGCTATTAGCCTTGGCACATAGACCCCTAAGCAATTAAAATCTAAAATTTGGTAAAAGCGGCATTTAGACCCTTCCGAATTTCCACTCTTCAATTCTACTCCCTAGTCTCTGCTGCAACGTCATCCTCGTGTTGACACAAATTCCCAATCAACGTGGGATGATAATAGTTCAAGTACGGGAAGAGATTCATGGAGTTGGAATATTGTTGGCAAAGATCCAGCATCGATTGTTGTATTGTTTTCGGATATTTCTGGACCATGGTCTTGTTAATGTGGTCGTAGATGAAAAAATCCGGTTGATTCGGTTCCGGGAAGAATGCGTTCTTCGGGTACATAGGCGGCATAGGCGGTTTTTGAATGAAAATTGGCATGTCGTCTTTAACCAGAACTTTGACAGCCACTTTTCGGCCGTTGGAATTGACCATGTTGGTCTCTTGCATCTGGAGTTGTTTGCGTTTAGTTTTGTAACGGCGGTTTTGGTACCAGATTTTAACCTGGAACAAAATGTAATTAATAATGTATTATTCATAATAATGATAGGTACTAATAGTAATCATTTTTCCATTTTCACTCTGTAAAGTACTTTCATAATTGAATAGGTACCTATTCAATTATGAAACCCTTATCAAATTACCCCATCAGAAGGACGTTTCATTATCAGAATCACTAAGCTAAGAAGTAGTTAATGAGTATTTTTTCTCCAATCTTGCGGCCCTTGATTAGGTAATATTGTTATTGACATTCGCAGAAACAAGGTTTCTCCAAGTTTCAATTAAAGGAACTTGCTCCAGGATGTTAATGAAGATTACCAGCATTTTTACTGAGAAAGTTCAAAGCAACAGGCCAAACGAGAAGCTTGATTGTTTCAAAATCAGCCAAAAAATTTAATGTCGTTTGCACGAATCAAGAATTCCGTTTTTAAATTTGATCCAAACCCAAATTGAAAATAAAGGAAATTGAGTTAAAAGGATGGAGAACACATAATGAGGAGCTCCACCATATTTGAATTTCATTATTTTCAATCAGTTGTATGAACCAAAATAACAATACCTAATAAAAATTATTAGGTATTTTATTAATAGATAATTTTTAAAAATACTGTTTCCATACCACGGACTGGAATGGTGACCGTGTATGACGTGGACTTCTTCACTGACCATTAAGAATCATCCACAATGGCTCTGACGCCGATCATTGATGCTTTGCTCTTTCCTTGTCTAGCTCTCAAGAGCGACAATAATGACAATCCGTCATTCTTAATTGCAACATATTTTATGTTGATTTTGGGAGTGTTTTTGATTGTTTTGTTAAAAAGAATAGTTATATTTATAGGGCAATCCAAAGGCCTGTCAAAACATAAATTCAATATGGCAAAAACGGTCAAACATATGTGATTTGTATTTGTTTTCCGTTTATAAACTATGAAAATACGAAAATTATCCTTCTCAAGCAATAGAAAATCCTCAAAACTCCACAAACTACAGAGAACGTACGATAACAAAACGTCACGGTTTTCTTCTGAAGGTAAATGAAATCTTTGACGCCAATTTCATAGTTTGACCATGGCTGCCATATGGATTGGCAGACATATTAGACAATACGATGTTGCCAAACTGATTGTCGTGATTTCTTGAAACTAAAATGACATCTGGGCATAGATCCTTGCTGATCACTACTCATTATTAATGAATGGGGTTTTAACATAAAAAAATCTAGAATCTCATTTTCAAATCTTACCCAAGAAGCCCAAGCCAAAAGCTCAGTTGAGTAGAATTATGTTTAAACAGCTGAGTTGCAAAATAAAGAATTTGACAAGACATTTTTCTGATTTCTGCTACCGTTAAAAGCGAATAGAACATACCCCATCAGCATACAGCGGACAAAAACTATAAAACCACTCTTATTAAAATTACAATAATTTTTCTTGTTACTCACTTGAGTTTCGGTTAGTTTCAATGTATTAGCCAAATCGGCCCGTTCTGGTCCGCTTAGGTATCTTTGCTGGCCAAAGCGGCGTTCAAGCTCGAAAACTTGCGCGTGCGTGAACGCAGCCCTCGATCTCTTCTTTCTAACTGGTCGGCTACCGCTGCCTCCGGATTCTCGCCCGGAGTCTTCCGAGAGGCGGGGTGAACCGTACCCCGGAGTCGGCGGCTGCAGAGATGGACTGCGAGAATCTGCAAGAAAAATAAAAGTATTAAAATTTAAATATGAAAAAAATTTGGATGTGGAGAAAGCGTGCCAAAGAAGAAAGAAGTTTTTACAAAATTGTTGCTATATAGTTTGAAATAACTACAAGAAATATTCTACATATTAGTAATAATGACTCTTTTCTATTTTTGTCAAAAAAAAAACTCATAAACACTAAAAGCTTGGTCGTTTATTGCGGCGCTTAAACAATACCTTCGTTCCGTATATTAATAAGTTCCATTCAGTATCCAAAAATAGAGTAAATCGTATTGTTAATATAACACACTAAGCTCCCTCCAAAAATTTCTATGGTCTCTTTCAAAAAAGTGTCAATAGATTTTCCTATGATGACGTGACAAAAGACCTTTTACAAAGCGGTGGATGATACAACGTGACACTACAAGCTTTTAACTTAAAAGCTTTTCGCACTTTGGTTATACCTACGTGTTACTTAATTTCGGTAATTGATCTAATATAATCATTTTCTATACACACAAAAGATCAAGGCGAAACTATTGGCTTTCATTTAAAACGCATTAGTTCAATCCGTGGAAATCTTTGTTTCGTGTATTGCTTTATAATGGATATTACAATGTGGTTAAGGAAATTGTGCCAGAAATAATATCTACTCAAATTTATGTCCAGATTTAAGCTCAAACGCGATGACAGGTGAATTAACAGAATGTTTCAGAATTTGTCCGAGGTATTTCCTGGAGCTTATTTTGACTTTTGAGCAACAGATCAGATACAATGAGTTCAAATTTAAAATTGCTTCTTTTCCGATTTTGTTGAAAATCTCGGATTCCATATACTTAGTGAGGAAAATATTTTAAGGTGAACAAGCCTCTCTTTTGTATTTCGACTTTTTTTTTCAGCTGCTTGCTTTTTTATTAGAAAAAAATCTTTCTTTGCCCTTTCTGCTTGAAACCGATGATGACTACCATTGGGAATGCAAAAATCACCAGAATATGTATAAAAAATGAAAAGTAGTGCTTTTAATAAACACAAAAAACTCAATATAAATTGAAAGGTGCTCGAACGGAAACTTTCAAAGTTTGAGATTTGGATTACCATCATCTCATCAGTCGTCTTTGGTCAAATGAAAAGTTATTGATGATTTAAATTGAAATGTTCCTGTAAGGTCTTAGATACCTATACTACAGCTTTACTAGAATAGGTGTTTTCGACGTCTGACCCGGCCCGGTGCACTCCGTTCTGGTCGAACCTGCACTAACCGAGGAAAGGGCCTTTTCGTCTACAACCAGAAACCTGGGGCGAATTCCACTGTTCATCTCTGCCGAAAGTCCGGAAGCCAAAGGGTTCCCCACAGGTTTCAGCCAAATCGGCCAACGTCATCATCAGGCCAAGCGGCCCCCGCCAGATAGATTTGGTTGAGAGTTTTCAGTTTGTCAGGCTCTCTGCGGCTGAATTAAGTAGGTTGCTAGCTGGCTGACCATTTTGTTTTGGAGATAAGTCATGGCACCTTTACCGACATGTGATAAATGCAACCAATCCTCCAGTGCCAGAGCTGCATGCTCTATGTGTAATAGAAAGCTTTGTCGGCCATGTACTAAGCTGACTAATGAAACAACCGCTTGGAGATGTGCATCAATGAAGAAGCGGCCACCGACCATCAATCAAATTCTTTTGTGAAGACTATGTGAGCCATACTGAATATGAATCGAATGGAAAAAAATGGGAAAGTGGGTTGGAGGCCACCGATACAGGATCTGAGGTGAAAGACATCACTGAAGACTAAGTAATTTTGAACTTCTTGCATGACCGAATAGTATCTTGTAGAAATATAATGATAGAGGATAAATTAAAGCTTTTGGAATTGAAAGATAATTAATTATAGAGTTACTACTTGAGGAAAAAATTGAAAATTTAAAAAAAATATCTCACCACAACAAGTACTCAGTGGTTAAACCATTAAAGAATTTTGTCCCAAGAATATTGAAAACAAATATTCAGGGACTAAAAAAAGGAAGAGAGGGTTTAGTAATTATCCGTTGTGGTGTACTCAATAATGCTACCAAACTTAGTAAAAGTCTACATGAGCAACTAGAAAATGAGTACGAAATCAAGACACCGGAAAAACAGAATCCATTGGTTAAGATAGTCTCCATTGAACCTGATTGTTTGTAAAATGAGCTGCTCGAATCAATATGTGAACAAATTCGCAGCTCAACGCTAACCTAAACCAGCAATTAGTCAAAGCAAAAAGGATATGGTATGGGCCCGGTATATGAATATGTCAACGTAATCCGATGTTTTAAGTGCTGTTCTTTCAATCACATAGCCAGAAACTGTGGAAAGAATCAAGAGATATGTGGCTTATGCTCAGGCTTTGGATACTGATACTCAGCGAACACTTGTAATAAAAAAGGAATCAAATAATGCATAAACTGTCTCCAAATGAATCTGAAGTACAATACAAACGAAGATACTCTTCTTTCAGCATATTCCCTGCAATGTCCGGTCTACCAGAAAACTGTACAAAACAATAGAGCCAAAATAAACTATGTCATATAGTCACTACACCTAAAGGACAAGACACTTTATACTGACGCTGTAAATAAAGCACATTCCAATCAAAAAGTCTTGGTGAGTTCAAAGCTGTGGTTGGTTCACATAAATCCCAATTCAATCTGGAATAAATTCACAAGTCTTATCGAATTCGCTCAGCACGTTCAACCAGGGGGCGGATTACGAACTCTCGATTCGAACCGAAACCGCCATGGATTTCGAACGCATTCTGATGCATTTACATGGAGTGCGTTCGAAATCCATGGTGGTTTCGGTTCGAATCGAGAGTTCGTAATCCGCCCCCAGATATGCTAGCAATATCAGAAAGCTTCTTACTGCGTATATGAGTAATGACAAATACACCTTGGATATATCTGCTGTATACCGTACTGACAGATATAGAGGCGGTGTAGCCTTGTATGTCTCCAGTAAATTCAAATCCCAAAAACTAACTATACATAATATTATTATTATTATTATAAAGCATTTATTGTTAGATCCTTACAATTTATGTATGTACATATACCATAGCAGAAACAATAAATACAGATTTAGCCCACAAGAGTAATTTCGCGCGTGGGCGGTAACAAAGATCGACCAACTTTGGGTGAGAGTCGTGATTGAGAACGTACGGTTAGCCATTGGTTTTATTTATAAACCCTCCTGGGTACCATATGGAACCCTCCACTTTCTGCATGATACCATACCTGATATGGTAATATCTAACGACATTGTTATACAAGAGACTTTAACATAGAGATCTGCTTTCATTGCAGGAATATGACTGTAAATTTCTAGACTAAGTTACAACTTCATTTGGCTTTCATCAGCTCATAAAGGACCCAACAAGAATTACAGCCAACACCGCTACACTGTTAGACCATGTATGTCACTGACAGCGAAATAGTTTTAGAAAGTGGAGTTTTGCCTGCAGAACCAATTATCTGGACTTTTCATGTGCAACTTATAAAATAAAGCAACAGAAACGAACATACAGAAATCTAAAATCAATAGATTTTGATCCACTGTACCTAAGTGATGATATTGATTTTGGAGTAGAATACTTCACTCGTCAGCTAACTTTCCTATTTGATGAGCATGCACCGAAAATCACGAGAACTATCCAAAAACGACCTACTGCATGGATAACGTATAACATTCGTTGCATTATGAAGCTAAAACGTAGGGATTTCTTAAAATTTCGAAGTACTGGAAGACCAGAACTAGTGGCGGTCCATAGATGATTTTCTGGGGGGGGGTAACGGATGACGGGAAAACCGAGAAGTGCGGAAAGGCTCCCCGCCGGAGGCTAAATTTTTTTTGGGTGCCACGCCCAATTTGCACCCAAAAGTCGTTTGAAACACGCCTCGGGCAAAAATGTATCCCGATGCCGTCAAAATAGTTATACAGGGTGTCCACTTAGTGCGATATCGGACTCGGACAATATATCCTTATATAGAGTGATACAAGAAAAAAAAATTAATTACAAAGTTGTTTGACTGTCTAAAGAGCATAAGATAGTCAAACATTTGGTGAGGTTTCGTCTCCTTGATACATAATTAGATTGATTTTTGGGTATAGGAACGGTGGGTTAGGAATTAAAACAGTCTTTCTCCTGACTTAAAAGAGTAACAATTAAAGTAACGAAACGGTGCCAGGAGAAAGACTGTTTTAATTCCAAACCAAAGTTGCTATACCCAAGAATCAATCTAATTATAGTTAAAAATATTTTTGAATATACAGGGTGCTCTGTATAAATTAAGTATGCGACAGAACTTTGTTATTTTATATGAAAATCTGATAAAATTCTACAGGGTGTTCGTAATACTGTACACAATACCAGGCATTCCAAACAACCATCACTCATTTTTTTTTCAAATGGAATACCCTTTTGTTGACTGTATAAGTAGTAGGTACCACCGTCACCAAAAGTAATTGGGAAGGCACAATATCAGCTCTTGTACTATTATATGACTTCAGATGTCAGGTATTTGTCAAACTATGAATAAATTTAGGTTTATCTAGGTTAACTTGGAATAGTCCAGGAGATAAATATGAATTATTTTTGTCCCAGTTACTTTTGGTGACGATAATACGTACGTCAATACTCGTAAGCCTATCAATTTATACAATGCCTTTAATGCTTTACTTTGTAGAATTTGTCTCTTGTAATTATTAAATGTATATGAAAAAATATTTGTCTGGGAGGGGGGGGGGGGTAATTACCCCCTCTACCCCCCCTTTAAACTGCCCTTGACCAGAACATAGGCAATACTACTGTGAGCTCAAAAACTACCATTAAAAGAAAAAAGGCTGCATTTCGCACACATTAGCTGCAAAAGTGCATTGGTACCGCTGAAACCTGGGAAACTATAAAATCGTTGAACATCCACCGTAAACCATCAAAACTACTACCTCCAGACATAAATGACACAGATGAAATCAATGATGCCTTCCT